TGTAATTATTTCCGCGTGTTTATGTCTGTTTATTCAGTATCCTATAGCAGTCGTACTATAATAGCAACAGTTTATCTGTCTTGGTATACGTGATATTATTGGGTCTAAAGAGGTATTGTGGCTTTGGGACGTAGAAAATGCCCATAATTTAAGAAATGGTTCTTCGTATGACCGTGTGACGCACACCTTTCAGCACGCTGCACGCAATGTATTAATGTAAATCAGATTCTCCTGAAAAGAAGCTGTACTAGGGGAAGACTGTGTAAGATATTGATTCTAAATGTATTAATTATTCAAAATGAAAGAAACGTTCATTGGAACGTTGATGTTCTATTGACTAGAATGTTAGAATGGCCTTGCTTGGAGTTTCCTTTTCCTGAAGCATTGCAAGACTGTTCAGCGGAGTTATCTATGTCGGGGTTCTTGATAAGGTATCGTAAACTCAGTGTTGAACCGCTGAGTGTTTCTTTTGTTGGGGGACATTGTGAGGGGACATTGTGATAGTGGTGATAGACTATCGATTAGCGTGGGCTATCAATTTACGAATATCAGAAACTTATCAACTGCTTGAATCTACGACTTTCTCGCTTCACTAGAATCCTTTTTATGCTGTGGGCTGGAGGAGGCGAAAATTTGAAGTCATACCTTTGAATGGCTGTAAGCATAGTTTGCTCACATAAATTTTAGCTTGCTGGTTATTGATTTACCTACTTCAGTGTCAATCGATTTCGGTATGCGAAATTGTTGACTCAGGCGAGCGTTCTCGTCAAACATAACGCTATGTTCGCTTGACCGAAACTCTGCGATGTTGCTTCTCACAATAGAGGACGTTTCTGGGCCGATTCTCAGTCTCCCGTTGTGTAAACGATTCGAAAAAAAGAGGACAACCTATGAATTAATCCGTAAAGAAAGGGCTGGTATTGGGGGAAGGTGTACACCGATGGGACAACAGAGAAACGTTCAAAGGTACAATACACAAGAACTGCAAGAAACGAAACTGTATGAAAACATTGCCCGTTCAATTGAGGTGCATCTGGTGATACGTGATCCACGCCACTGAGATTACTGTGCAATGTTTCTTGTCTCCTTGTTATTCCTCGTTGAAACCTAGGCATTATTTGTCAAATTGTGTTTTTATTCTTTGCCTAAAGAGGTTATGATAGGGACCTTTATTTATTTTCCTCCCTTCTCGACCTTTTCGTCTACTTTGAAGGCCTTAAGATAGCATTGTTTCCTGTACCTTCGGATAGAGTGTGGTTGTGCTACCTAACAAACCATCAATCGAGTAAATTGAAATAGTCGTCACTGCCGTAGTCTGTCAGGGCTACAAAAAAAAGCTGGTAGACCTCCTTCACTATCTCGCCAGCCTCTTAGAATCCACTCAATTGAGATCGGCATATGTTCTCGTCTGGCTGGGCACGTAAATGTGTAACAGTCGACTATCAACTGGTATTTGGTCACTGTGCTAAGAGCCATGTGCAGCAGCGTTTTGAAAGCAGCAGTGTTTTTGTTTTGCACGAAAAGGTAAAAGCCCATCCCAGTGTTTCCTGCAGTTATTGAACTTTGGGTTGCTTTAGGTGGAAATATTGAAAGATGATTTTTTGTGGTTACGCTCAGAAGGATTTGAGGGATTGTGAGGTTGTACTCCAATTCTATTGTCTGAGCCGTATACGGCAACTTCTCTTACACGTAGAATATTACTGTCTTCCCGTCTCAGAATAGAAGTGTAAATTACGTCACGTGTTTTTTTTATTTTCTTCCGTACAGGACATGAGTATGACATATTTGTTTTCCCTGCTCTGATCAGTGATCATGGTTTTGTCCTGATCGAATATCTTCCAGTGATGATTGATAGATTTGCTAGTAATTAGTGCGCGACGAGTAAAACACGACTTTGTTTAACAATGCTTGTTTGGCCTTTCGGCGATTTCGTTGAATGGATCCTTCCTGTGTGTCGTAGTGACCAGCGTAAAGATCGTATGTTACGCTGCTTTCAAAAACACTCCTGTCGGCAAATTTGTACTGTTTATTGGTCTTTTCTTTTTCTTCTTTGCCACGTGATTATCGCTTTCTACCGCTACAGTGCGACATAAATCACACAAATTACACAGCAAAGAAATAAGGATGTTTTCAAATTAAAATACGAACTACATGTTAGTGGTAGTTGTTCGCTTCCTGCAGAGAAGAAAAGCTTAGCTTACAATGAGGTACGAGCGCAATATGAAAGCTCTGTTTAAAAGTGAATACATTATTAGGATGGGGAAATGTTGGTCACGAAGTTTTTTTTTAGCTTTTTTCCGCTTTTGGACCTTGATCACAGTTATTCATCAGGTGCAGAAAGAGATGTCTCGGTGCCATGAGGTACGAGCACACTAGCTAGTTCCCCTCGTGCGGCTAAACGTTACTTTCATAAACCTCTATGCTGGTCTTTCAATCAATTCCTTCATGAGTGGATGCTTATGTAGCGGTCCGTTACATACTGGGTGAGAAAATTCGGTTCCAGCAACGTAGCCCGCTTGTTTAAAGGAATCTTCCACGGAAAAAGCTCCGCCCTCATTACCACAGAAAACGATACCTTAAAGGAAAAGAGTGATCATTTTGTCTTGTGTGTAGGATTAGTATTATCGAAACTAACGCTTATGTTCCGTTCTTTTTGCTATGCTCATGAGGCTAGGGGCCTAAGGTATCGTTTTTCTGTGGTAATGGAGGCGGAGCTTTTTCCGTGGAAGATTCCTTTAATTGACAAACACGTAAATTTTCCAAGCGAATGTTATTGAGGGCGTTGACCTTCTAACAGAATGCGTTAAATGCTGCAGCAGGAATGGAGGGATGGAGGTGTCTTTTTTATTGCTGTCAATCGTAGGATCCTATAGAATCGAGGGCAATGCCTGTGTGGATGCGAATCTTTCCAGAAAGCGAAGACGAATCGGCGATTCGTTGAGTGCAGAACAGGACGCGCCTTTTTTCTCACTCACTGTCGGAAACTAAAAGACGTGACCGACCTAACTATCGCTGGCACTGCTCCAATTTTGCAAATGCTCAAAATTTCGTTTCCACGGGTTTACCTATGGTTTACTTGTCACAATGTCCCTACTCTGGATTGTCTTTATGCAGGCTTTGAAGTGCGGCAAAGTGATTATTCAATGAAACTGGGTAGCTAACATAGCAATTACCGCCGTTGAATTGCAATTCATATTTTGCTAAATCTCTATGAAACTGGGGATACTATCTCGTGTTGGGACGCGCCACGCACATTTGACCACTTGAAATCTCTGATTTGGTTGCATTTCGATTACACAATGGGTCGCAGTTAGTAGCCGATTGCAAGCCACTACTGTTACTCTTCTAGACGATATTTTTTCAAAATAGCCGACCCAGAAGGAATGGAGGATCTCGTCAGGTCGGACTTGGGTTGGGCCGAGATTTATCTTCAGTCATTTTAACAGGAACTGGAGCCTTTTGCCACTCTAACCTCTGCGTCACATTGCAGCACCGCCAAGCAGTTTTTGCAACCCCAACCGCCTTTTATGTAGTGACTATGTTTTTGAAGAGCACCTAAACTTTACTTATCGTAAAAACTCAGATTTTTTACCCCCTATAATCATCCTTCTCTTTCAATTTATCCTACGAACGGCGCCTGAGACGATTGTTATTGGTTTGTCTCACAACCGCGGAAAATTTAAGCTCCTTCCTTTTCAGACATTGTTTTTGTGTTACTAAAGAGACCGGTCCATGGAAATGTGATGGCATCAAAACCAACCACCTACTGAACTAATGCACTCTGTATTACTTTTACACACTAAATGTTCATAAAACCGTAAATGAAGCGGAAAGTCTCAATTCAGTCATCTAACTTCTGACCTTTTATTCTGCCTCTTGCATAATTGTTCTATGAGTCACCTCAAAAGGAGCGTGACGAGTAGTGTACGTAATGCGCCTGCTTGCAATTTACATTTCCACCAACTTATATTATAATTGTAAATTATGAATTCGTCTTGGAAGGAAACTGGATGAGTTGTCTTCAACCAGGGCTCCACTGTGGACCAAACTTTTAGATGAAGATTCACTACGTCATAGCGGGGAATTTCTCATGTAAATACGAAAGTTTGCTCCCATAGCGACGGAAAATTCTCGATGTCGTCAACTCTGAGTTGAGAGATCGGAAATTACACCGTTATTAGGGGGCATTCAAGTCGGTGAGTGAAAAATTGCCTATAAGGAACTGACAAATGTTGATCGAGATGTATTGAAACGAGTATCGTTAGTAATAGTAAGTGCAGAAAGAAGTCTTTTTCGAAACGTTTGTTCTAACGGCTATTTGAAAACTTACAATTCTGCCACGCTTCCCTGACCACCTCAGTATGCTCGAGCAGTTATTGTTCCAGTGATCAAAGCTATGTTATTAGGTGTGCTCAGTCGTAGAAACCAGGCTGCTGCGCACACTTGGAGTGAATGTATTGACACAAGGACGCACGGCCTTCAATCTCTTCTTGATATGTGAAGAGTGGTTTGTTCGATCACGGATAAGCTCAAGTTGATCGTAGCAAGTCTTGCGGTTGCGATATTCGGGAATAGCGACGCTGGAACCAGTTCAGCGTGTTTGTTCTTGATCGTAAAATCCGGTGGCCAATCACGAGAAAAGGTCAATGCACATCGCAAAAAAGGGAATCCCCTATCTGGAATTAACTGTTGTGTAATATTAGATTGATCGGTATCTCAATGGAAAGCTTCGCCCAGACCTAGAACGCGTGATTCATTTATATTACACGCTGCGGAAAGATCCTACGCCAATCCTGAACAATAGGAGCATAAATGCTTACGTGATGGAATAATTGTACTAACGTATTTGTGACCAGCACACTGGCTAGCTCAGATGAGCAGTTCAGCGGTCTTGCTCTTAGAGGCGAGGTCTTTGCTGCTGGTTTTTATTCAATGTTTTAACCTATTTGCCTCGAATTATAGCTGTTGAGCTGACTGCCGCAGGCCGTTGGTTTATTTGGATGAACTATTTCGTGCATTCGATCATGTACACTTATTATGCTACTGTCTCGACAGGAATCCGTCTTCCGAAGCGGATTTCCATGTGAGTATAGATGGGTAATGCTTTTGCTGCCATTCTTTGTTCATACTATCGACTCTTCAGGACCGTCACTGCCCTTCAAACCACACAAATGCTTATTGGTGTTGTTATCTCGGTTTATGTGCTATTTTTGAAACTCAATGGCGCGGTGAGTAATAAATCCATTAAAGTATTCGATCTTCTCCATTCTTTGGTTCGGTTCTTTGGTTTTGTTTTAGCTATTCAATTCGCACTAAGTTCTATTTGGAATCGGATGGCTTCTAGGAGACTGCGCGATTTCAGTTTACATCTTTTAAAGCCGGATGGTACGATATGTTGGATATTGAAGAGGTGCAGATCTGCCTACTGTAAAGGGAGGCTAGGCAAGATCGAGCAAAATGTACCAGCAAGGCCTCATCTGTGATGACCGCAGCTTTCGTGGGTAGTCGCCCCCCCCCCCTCCCCAAGGTGGCGCTCTCACCTATGACTGGGAGGGGGTTAGAGGTTGTAAACTGCGGCGAGAACGTGTAAAAAGGCAAACATGAAGTCCAGATTGTTGACATCATCTACCATAAGATCTCGTCAAGCGCGGAACTCAATCAGCAAAAAATTTTTAGCGGGTTTCGGCCCATTTCTCTTGGCTTTTTCCTTCAGCGCTGCATCGTTTGCCATCTATACTTTCATACCTAGCGATGACTTTTTTTTACATATCATTTGCCTTGGACAAACATGCAAAAAATCGCTTCGAAACCATCTCGTATTGGCGAGTAACAGCGATGGTTGTTTTGAGACAGGGATACCGGAATTGTGGATTTTTGATCAAGGTAACATTTTCGCGGAATTTACCTCACCAATGCCAGTGAATACAAAGCCTTTCTACGTGGACTTTCGATTCCTTTATCAATTGTGGGTGTTTCGTGGATAAGGTAGTATGATCAGTCGGTGTTGGTCAATCCCTCTCCCAGATACGTCATGCTTCTATACTTCCATTTAGAATTGTTGTGGCATTTGAGTGCAGTTTGCCACATACATTGAATTGTGGGGTCAGCCAATACTATTTCCATACTTCTAGACAAATTCGGTACTAGTGAATCGACTGGAGGGATGCCAGGTTTTGTTAGCTCGGCGCACAATCTAGGATTCGTCCCGGGGCTGCGCGTTTTGATGGAGCCGCCTGCCACTAAATCACCTACACCCATTTTTGTATGCTTACGTGTGAGAATCAGCACGCATATTGAACAATCAAGGCTCAAAGGATTCACCGAGAAGAATTCTCGCATTCTCCCACATGAATATGTAAGGTGTGATCATTAGAGACAGTACGAAGTTTCACACAAGAAGATTCACTAAGAGAAGCAAAATTACAATCACGTTTTATGGACGGTCGAGGGTAGGTCGAGCGGAAACAAGGGGATACGTTTAGAGAAGTACGCTTGGGCGTCAGCGTAGCAGACGACGCATTGAAATTGCACAATACAGTCAAAACCGTCGAAAGAGTAGAATTCAATAGAAAGGAGAAATGTTGTTGCCAAAAAAGATGGGAAAGGCCGAATGGGGTTTCTAGTAACAGCAAGCAACCACCCCGTGAACCAAGTGGAATTGTTCCCGTCGCCAGCGTTTGCAACCCGCAAAACATACTGGAAATTCAGCGGAATACCACCATTGCTGGCTCAGTTCAAATTTCTTGGTTCTGGCTGAGTCTTCTGGAGTTTTTTTTCCCTGTCCCATTCTTTCCATTGGCGCACTCAGTTGAGTTGCCATAAATAAATAAATGTAGAGCAGGGATTTGAGCGCGTAAGAGTCAGGGTTTTTGAATTGTACCAAAACAAACATGGCTTTTTGTTCGTTTCGTTCTTATCGTGAATAATGGGTTTAAAACCGGTGATTTATGGGTTAGATGGAATCATGATATTTCCGTGAATAATTCCCGCGAAATATATAATGGCGAAATGTACACAGAATCGATTGGAACGATTAAGCAAAACGATAGGCTCGTGAGGAATGGGTCATACTTTTACAGCAGTATTATTCGTACTCTAATTTCCGGTAGATAAGCCCGCGCCGATTCTACGTAGAAACACCTCCGCTCGTGCAGTGTAATTTTGTACACCTTAGAAACCACCGCAAATTTGCCTATAGAGGTAAGTCGATGCCCTGATCACGAAAATGACTTTCATTTTTAGCCGTGGCACCATCTGGCGCCAGTTGGCGTCACCTTATTACGATGCCTGTGTTCACCAAATTTGGTCAAACTTCCGTGTAGGGGTTATTTGACATCCTGATTACGAGTAAGACATTCATTCTCGGCGCTGGCGCTATTTGGCGCCTATTTTCTGCTTGTGTGAACTCTCTAACCAAGAAATATGTGTTGAATGACGTTAATGCCAAAAGCGAATGTCATATTCGCAATTATGGCATCAAATAGCCCCACACAGAAGTTTACATCAATTTTGGAAAACAACGGATCGTCGAGGATTTGACTGCCGAATCCGGCGCAGATGAACGCCACCGTAAAAACATGTCGTTTTCCATCATCGCCCAATGGGCATGGTTACGGTTGTCTCTAGGTGTGCACAAGTGCACTGCACCAGGAGTGGTGTTTTACGTGGTATCAAGGCGAGCTTATCTACCGGAAAATTTAGGGTATATTACTATTTTATTATATGATACTATATTATTATTATTTATTATTTGTATTTAATTCGAATATCTTTTTGACTCTGTTAATAAGTTTGTACAAAAGCTTGATTTTCATTTTTAAGGTGTGTCAGCAGTCTTTCGACAATCTTGCCATATGTTTCGCTATCTACGCGTCATTCCTCATCTTGTTTTCTAAATTCTTCAATACAGCATATCTAGTGAAGAGGGAGAAGACCGCTATAGTGAAGTCAGCTGAAAAAGTTGATTAGAAGCTCGAACATGAAGTTTGCGAGTTCTAATTGAGGGAAATGTGCAAAAAATAAGTGTTATGGTTGTTCAAGTGTTGTGTTGGTATGTAAAGAAACGGTGGGAGCGATGTTTCGCTGCTCGTGTTGTAAATCGTAATTATTGTGATCTTCAAACATCACTTAATTTACTAGATGCCGTTTATCGTTAACCTCATGTTGTCATCAGTTCTGCCGTGTTTGCATGGAAAGTGTCTTAACTGTCTGTGTTTCTGTATGGCTGAGTTGTGTCAGTATTGGAATTCGTTGTACATAGGAAATGACAACAATAAATATTTCTATTTCTGATCATGCAAGCAGTTTTCTTCGAAAGAAATTGAAACAAGGGCGGTGTAGTCGCATCTGATCTGCCTTTCCCATTGGATTTGAAGGCAAAGGTCAGGCTTAGCCTCACTGATAAGGTCTTTCGTGGTGAAAGCTGGGTCCGCAACTGTAGAGGTCGCGATAATTTAACAACTTGGAATGCCACTAAGGCGCCAAGCACCTACGAGTCATGTATTAGGTCGTAAGGAAAGTTCTGGCCGTTTTCGATAATTCAAGCTCCATGGCATTATTTCTGGCTAGGGTTTCGACGGACTGCTACGTGTTACATATCGTTAGGAAGCACGTTTCTTGCTCTATCTAATCGCACTGCAAGCTTTGCTTTAGAGGGACTACTCCCACTTATTCGAAACATTAAATGCAACATGCTCAGTTTCACCTTTGCGAAATTTTGTTGACCATAGTCATGACCGAACAACTCATCCGAAGTTCATGGGTTATTGAGAAGACTCCATTCTACAAGGGGAGTCACGATCCGGACAAAAAACGGGTCGTTTTCGTTGGAGGAAAGATTGCAGAAGAAAGGCAGATGGTCCCACGGAACCGCGATTTTTCGCAACACCCTCCTTATCGACGTTCCCGTGCTTCTTAAGCTATCCCATGTAACTTGAAACCATAAATTGAATGCGCCCAATTTGGTAGCGGTCTTCTTAATTGTTTGAAGCACATTTGATCCCATCAAAAGTTTCACGTAATTTTTACCGAAGTTCGAAATCCAGCGATCACTATCGCCAATTTCGAGGCTATCGCCATCCCTATACAAGCTCTCCAAACTATAACTTCATGGCTTATTTTTTGCAAATGCATGGCCAAACGAATAATTTATATCATAAGCTGATTCCGCTTCTTTCTGCCCTAATTCGAGGTAGAAGAAGAAAATCGTGAGGATTGGCTTGGTGAGCATGCTGCATTCAAGGCTTTCAAAAAGTGGGACCAGTCCCTATTGAGCAAAGCTTACCGCGGATTTGGATAGAGCAAGAAACGCACTTTCTAATGATATGCAACTCGCAGCAGTCTGCCGGAAAGTTTGCTAGAAATAATGTCATGAAACTTGTACTGTCGAAAACGGCCAGAACTTTCCTTACAACCTAATACATCCGCTAGGTCGGTTACCATAAATCTGCCCATCGTTCTGACAGCTGTGCTCTTTGCCAGTTCTTCGCACCCACTCCCCCTCACATAATCTACCTTACTTCGCCGTCTGCCTCATAGCCTTCCCCGCGTAGCAAGGAGGTTTGTATTGGGTTGATCCATAATTCCTGGCCGAATTTTTTCAGAATCAATTTTCTTCATGTCAAATTAGTGTCATTACGAAATAAGTTAGTATGTTGAAGGAGGCATCAGTACCTTAAACTAGGATGTTCCAGAAGGTCAAAGGGCAGTGGAATAAGTAAGTAGGGATCGAAATGGATCAACGACCAAAGCAGGCGATTATGCTTAACGATCATTTGAAGAAGAACCTTGCAAGGAGTGCAGTAAGGCAAGACCAGCGCTGTGTTTGCCTCAGTCTTTGCTACTGATCGGGCACTGGGCTATTGGCTTGAAAGCATCGGCAAAGGCGATACAAGCTGCAAAGTTTGACCTCATCCTAAGCCCCCAGTCACTTTCGATGAGGATCCATTGCGCTGTGAATCGGAAGTTCACCGGACGCTACCACCTGAGATTTGTAGCAGATACCTGGGCACAGCCGATGCACCACCGCAAGCTGTCTGAATGAAACGGGCTGTAGCAGAATGAAGTTTCGATGGGAACGGCATGCATCTCTGACCATGACCGAGAAGCAGACCTGACCATCTGCAGAAATTTCATTCTGCGCAGGCATAGCCTGGACTTTCCCTAGTCGGTCACCAGTGGAGATGAGTCATGAGTCCACTACGACAACAACACGCGGCACGCTTATGGCTATCTCGCAGCCTGAACCCACCATCTCACCCAAAACCCGACCTCTCTCGTCAGAGAATATTACCCCAATTTGTAGGATTGGTCGGGTATCCCACTTTGAGAACTGCTTCATCTTATATAGACAACCACTGCGAAGATAACCATGGAATAACTCCCGAGGTTGGCCGCAGCAGTGCGAGAGAGAACCATTCGAAACGTCTCAAAATCTCCTTCCTCCGGATGAACGCCCGACCTTACATTGCGAAGATAACTCGCCACCTTCTGAGGGAAACTGGCTCGATCGCGATACCACATCTATCGTATAGCCCTAACATTACTTCATCGCACTATCCCCTTCTCGATGCCCTGAAGCAGTACCTTCGAGAGAAAGGGGTCACTGAATACAACCACCCAAAAAACGACCTCCGAACTCTTCATCCCATAGCTCCACTCGTTTTGAGAGGAATGCATCCATTCGCTGCCTAGCAAATGAATGCATATCAGCGATTGCGACGGTGGTTATATTGTTGATCAGTTATTCTCCAGGAAAGAAAAAACTCAATGAAATGAAAGTAGCGAAATTCGGCCAGAAATTATGGTTCAGCCCAATATTTTCAGTATTTTTGACAAAAGTTATTCTTTTCCTCCACTTGAGGTCCACTTCGCATCCTTACTTTCGTATTCGAATGCGATTACCGTTTCGAATTGATCCTGACTCTCCTTCAGTATTGCTGCAGCCTCACTACTAATAAGCGAAGGGTCTCAGCTCGAAGTGGCCATTTCTGACCATAGGTCCTACACTTTCAGTGGTTCTCGACGCTCATCTCAAATGTGTTTTCGAATCAGCGAAAATGTCTCCTGGACGGAGTTCTGGAGGTGACTGCTTCTTTATGATACGCTTGCTTTTATTCTATCAAAAAAAAAACTGTTCGGTGTTGAAATTGACAGAGAAGTGTACAATGCAGTCAGAAGTTCAGGGTGTGCTGGAGGGGAGGGATTCGCCTCTAGCATCACCCTTTTTCCCTACAGTCGGGTCCATCCGTTAGTCAAAGTCCAACGAAGGGGTCGTGGTGCACAGGGATACTTAAAGATGTGTACAGGGAAACTGAATGTGTGTAGAATAATGGCTGGCTGAAATCGCAACGGAAGTGATGAAATGTTGGACACCTGCAAATAAAGCTTACAGCTCTATTAGGCTCACAGCATTGGGCGATCACAATCAAAAAGTTTGGTCGCGACAGAAGGTGGGGATACAACTTTCGAGTGCTTCTTCAACTATTAACCACAAACGAGTGCATGGCGCACCTCAGAGCAGAAGAGTACTGCAGAACTCCATACTTAACTCTTAACGTAAATGATATTGCTCTAAAGGAAAGCTAATACCTTCAGAATGGACCTGTTACTAAAAGGTGGCCACTTGGGCAGATTGACTTCTAAAAAACACGTAAAATGTAAAAAAAAACGAGCTGTGTGCCAGTGACTTCCTGCAAAGGATTTAGAAATTATTACAAAGCACACAACTATAGTTTGTAAGGGTTCTTAGATTTTCCCATAAAATTTGGGAAGGGTTTGATTGTTTAAATGTTGAAAGCTCGCTTTTCCAGGGTAGTAGCTCCGAAAACTCATGGACAATGGTCTAACGGAGGTTCTTGTCTCCATAAACCCCGAAATGAGTCCAAAACCATTAACGGAAACATTCTACAAGTTTTGCGTATTCGCAGTTCAAAATTCACGGTTTAGAGGTAATGCGACCGCGCCTGCGAAATCGCGCCGGTTCTACGCAGCCAGAAGAACCAAAACGCGCGATGTCGTCAACAGTTGAAGCTGTTCAGCTCCTAACGAAGACAGTCGTGTTGCGATTTTGTGCTTATCAGTGAACTACTGCAGGTCAAGTTCTGCTGCTTGTGTTTCAGGCTATGTGCTTTGTGGTATTTTATAGATTGCACTTACTTCCAGTAATGTTAACTTTTCCATGGCAGACACACACATGTAATAAATGTACTGTACATAATAAGTGTTGGGTTGATCGTACCGACTCTCCAAGAGGAGAGGGTGGGGTCGTAGATTTTGGAATCGGACTAACGTGACGGTTGACAGTGCTTCCGACTAACTATTTCACGAGTGTTTGCTAAGATGTTATTTCTATCCCATGAATGACCAGACACTGACATTAGGTTGATGGATGGTTTAGCGCCCACATTTTGGGGGATTTCAGATTAAAACTGTGCAAAAGAAAACTTTGACTTTTTGAGTAAGAATGAAAAAAAGTGAAATGAAAAAGTTAATGCGTGATACGGGTACGTGTGCGGTCGTTTCGAAATGACGCTCATGCTCAGACTCATTAAAAGCCATTCGATAGCTCTTTACACTAGTGACATAAGCTACCGTTGATGGCTTAGCATGGTTGGCTCACCATAAGCATACCTAATCTTAGTCGATCTTTTATACGACTCAGTCAGAAGAACAAAGCAATAGAATTTGGAACAACCCTTGAGGGTATACACCAATGCGCGTTGGAGAGCGAAAAGTATGCCCCAAAGGCCTAGCAAGGCTTTTCTCGCGTCGCTGCCTGCCCCTTCTCGCCGTCTGACTCGAGCCGTTTTGCAGAGAGGGTTAGCACTTGAAAGGGTAGCACCGATGAGGGTCGCATTACTGCGGTCCAACGAGCAAAAAAGTGCTCCCATCTTGGGTTCTGTACCCCTTCTCATGTTTTTTTTTATTTCTGCACTGATGACCACATCTACCTCAATTTCGGATGTGTT